CTCTCCACTTCAACCATGTCAAATGAATCCCAAAACATGTCCTATGAAGAGCTCATTGCCTCCAATACAGCCTTGAAAGCCCAAGTAGAGTACTTGGCTAAAGAGGTAGCCAAACTTACAAAGATGAAACTCAACGAGCTACAAGGAAGTGACCGTGAAGAAGACGTTAGCTCTAGTGGAACCATGAAGCCTAAAGCCAATGAAGGTTCTGACTTCAAAGTTGACATTCCAACTTTTGAAGGGAAGAACGACCCGGACGAGTTCCTCGAGTGGTTAGAAACGGTGGAACGCGTCTTTGACTTCAAAGATGTTTCCGGCGAAAAGAAGGTCAAGATAGTGGCCTTAAAGTTCCGGAAGTATGCATCGACTTGGTGAACTAATACGTGCACCAAGAGGAGAAGGAACGACAAAGAACCGGTGTCCACATGGGCAAAGATGAAGTCCCTTCTAAAGAAGAAGTTTTTACCCGCTGAATATGTTCGTGAGAATTTTGCTAAGCTTCAAACGCTTAGGCAGGGTTCTAAGTCCGTTGAAGAATACAACCGGGAGTTTGAAGAGCTATTGTTGAGATGTGACTTACAAGAAGATGACGAACAAACCTTTCTTCGTTACCTATTTGGCTTAAACCTACAAATAGCCCACACGGTGGAGTTGCAAAGTTACGACTCTCTTGAAGAACTCACGAAGTTGGCCCTCAAAGTTGAAGCTCAACATAAGAAATCCAAAGCCTTTTTCTCCAAAAATAAAAACCCTTCCCCACGGCCCTACTCCTCCACATCCAAACCACCTTATCCTTCACCAAAATTACCTTACACTACCCCCAAAAACCCCACTACTGCCCACGACCGAAACCCCTCCTCCTCTTTCACACCCCGGGCTGATCCCACCAAGAAAGCACCTGTTTGCTTTCGGTGCCAAGGACGAGGTCATTATGCCAATGAATGTCCTAATAAGAAGGTAATGGCCATTGTTGAATGTGATGAAGAAGACTTTGACCCAACTTGGGTTGAAGAAGAAGCGGAAGAAGTGGAAGAACAAGACGAGTATGTAGGTCCCGATGATGGAGAACTCTTGGTCATCCGAAGGACGTTGAGCACTCTAGCATGCCCCGAGGAACAACTACAACGGGAAAACATATTCCACACCCGTTGCACTGTCCAAAAGAAGGTGTGTTCCCTCATCATCGATAGTGGGAGTTGCAC